TTGACTTTCGTTGGCCTAATGTGTGCATAGTCCATGTTTGTGCACACAACTCCATCTTTCCATTGCCGCCTGCCGTATAATGATTTCCCAGCCATCTTCTCTACAGCACCTGTGCTCTGGGGATGGGTAGAGGCCTTAACCAAGGTGATGGGAATGAGAGGCTGGAGCCTGGGGCCTGGGTCCCATTACTGGAGTGCTTGCACCTCGACAAACGTTTCCTCGAGCAACAGAATACAAAGAAACCACAAGGGACTGAAAATAGCTGCACACATGCGCAGTTGGGGTATTAATGAACAAGAAGCAAAAAGGACACAAACTGCCATTTCTGAGGTGCTGAGAGCAAAAGCAGGGTGCTGTGCATGAGCCCTGCACAAAGCACCACCAAGGGGGTGGGCAGGCCACCTAAGCTACACCTCCTGTCTGACCTATGGACCTGCCCCGATCCTCACCCCATTTAAAGAACCACCTTGCCTTCCACTCAGGAGTGAGCAAAGACAACTGCTTCTTGTTTTCACTCCGTTGTGCTGCAGCACGAGTCCCAGTAAAGCCTTGCCTGAATTCCTCACCTGGCCTCTTAACAATTTCTTTTGATTAAAGAGTCCAAGGACTCAGATTGGTAACAGGAATATTCGCTCCCCTGTACTAGCGCAAGTGCTGGTCTAGGCCAAGGGTCTCCATCTGGCCCACAGCTCCCTGGCCACATCCTTTGCCCTTCCAGCAGCCTGGCCCTCTAGGACGGGCTAGCTCCAAGCTGAGATCCCTGCCATGGAAATCTTGTCTGCCTCGCTCGGGTATCACCTGGGCTCCAGAATGGCACGTCTGGGGAATGCGGGAGGGTGACAGGTCCAAGACCCCCCGGACTCTCGCTTTGGTGGAGAGAGGAACTCCTTTTCCTCTGTCCTGGTACACCTGGGTCCAAAGATTTAAAGATTAGAGGCCATAAAACCTTCCATCCTTGCTCTGCTGCTGAGGTCAGGCTGGTGAGAAAGAGAAATAACAGGGTTGATTTTGTTCAAGCAAACAAGCAGTGAGATCCCTCAAAAACAAGGCACAGCCTTCTCAACCCCCACTGAAAAAGAAAAAGCCGGGTTCCCCTCTTGGGGGATGTGGAGCCAAAAGACCCAACCCAGGCAAAGAGCAGGAGGAAGGGCTTTTCACTTGCAGTAGGTAAGGAGAACACCGGCGGTCTTTCCCAGAGCAGCCTCTCCGCGAACAGCAAAGCTGGGGAAGTTTTAGGCTAAGGTTACCTGCATGTGCATCAAGGGGCCTGAGCAGAGGCGACGTCAGCATGGTACAGGTGCAAAGCCCTCCAGAGTCCAAGGTTTAGTTGATTGAAGTCTCGAGGGTCAGAAAAGGTCAACGTCACCATTCCTTAGGTTCTGACCAGTCTGAGGTCTTAGCACATAGTTACCCTCTTCCACCTGAGTGGGGGGAGGGGCGTAGTTCCCGCAGAACTCAAAGATGTATCAGACTGTTATCTACATCCCTTGAGGAGGAACCAGGACTTGATTTTATCTGTACCGAGGTTGCTATTCATTCCTTTGTTTCCTTCAGATCATTAATTACTGAGACCTGTTCAAGGGCAAGCATTGTGTGGCCAGGTTTAGATCACAAAATGCTTTAGGCCAAAATGGCTTTTCTTAAGTCAGAAATTGTATCTGGTTCGTTTCCTCCAGGGACCCCCTGCCCTAGCCTGTCTGCTTATAGCATCACCTGCAATACTTCAGATTTTTATTAACAAAGGAAAAAAAAAACTTTCTTGGAACCAAAACGCTCTTGTAATCTCCACGTCCCAGTCTGTTTAACTTTGTGACCTGTAATTTTCATAAAAGTCTTCCTCATTCTTAAGCCCTCAGGTCAACAGTCATTTCATGGGGAAGTGAAGTGCTCGGTAACTTCCGGCCTCGGTTAAATCTAGGTCAAATAGGGATGCCCTGTGCTTACCAAGCATAGTGCTTCTCCTCGGCAGTCCTGTCAGAGAGGCATTTATTTTTTTTAAATAAGCTTTTAATTTTGGAATCATTTTGGATTCACAGGAAAGGTACAGAGATTGTAAAAAGAGTTCCTGGATACCTCTCACCCAGTCCCTGGATGCTAATCAGTTACCATGGATGTGTCAAATTAACCACCGCTGGTACGTTACTGTGGACTAAACTCCAGATTTTATTTACACTTCACCCTTTTTTTCCACTTATGTCCTTTTTCGGCTCTGGGCTCTAATTTAGGGTACCACGTTGCATTCAGTTTCATGTTTCCTGGGTCTCCTCTGGCCTGTGCATTGGGCTGGACACCAGAGAATTACAGTAAGAGAACACGCTCCCTTCCTATGGGAGAATCCCAGGCTAACCATCCTAAAAGTCAAGATAAGCAACTCGAGGTTAGACAGAGATCGAGAGAGCTCTATGCTCCCTGCTGGAGTCCTCTTGTTTGTTCTTTCCTAAGGAAGCAAGCATCGATTAACTGATACTGATACAAAGGGCTGAAATCGAGTTATCATTCAGAATAAATAAAATAGCCTTTTTGCGACAGTTTGCTTAGGGACTTGGGTTCCCTGAATTTACCCTTTTGCTATGGCACTACCATTGAATTGGAAGATCAAGGAGCCTGAACGCTCCAGGTGCATGTTATCTCACATTTTAATGTCTCCGAAATCCAGATGCATCTGACGAGTGGCACCTCACAGTCATGGTTGACAAGGGGCAGGTCTGACAGAGTTGTCATTGCCTGTGTAGGCAGACTTGGCCAGGGCTGTTCAGGTGGAGTCACTTGAATCAATTTAGGAGCATCATGGATGCCATGTAGGTTGAGTTTAATTGCAGTTTCAAATGTCTTTTAAAAGAATACACCGTCAGCAGTGAAATGAAAAGTTTACTGAGGATGCAAAAAAGTGTGAACACACCACAGGAGGATCCACAATGGGGACGAATGAGGGACTAGTCATTGTTGGAGGCAAGACCGCAGATCCCTATTTTCTCGGAATGGAGCAACCCAGGGCTTTACAGGATCCAGGCAGGGAGGAAACCCACAGGCAGATAAAAGTGGTACACACTGTGTTACTGATCAACATGAAAATGAGATACTTCATCACGTGTCAGAGCAGTCAGTGCACCTGAAGGTAGAAGAAATTCCAATAAGTTCTCTAGAAGAGATGAAGGAGATTTGAAAACCTTGGATTCCTTGGGGCAAACTTGAGCAAGTCATTTAACTAGATTCTTGTCTGTTTTATTCTCTGGAAGAAAATAGGGCTAAAAGTAGTACCTCATTTGTAAGTAGCAGTGGGCTGGAGCTGCATCTTAACCAGCTCACAGGAGCCTCTTACGCACATCTTTCCCCAAACACGTTCAGCGATGTCATGTTGGTAACTTGAAATCTACCAAGGAGTTACACCACAGAAATCGACAGTCACTACAAACCAGAACTTTTTTCCTCCCAGAGAACCAGTTAAACATTTACCAGCACATGGCTACTTATAGAATTGTTGCAAAGGTTAAATGAGCTGATGAATGCAAGGGGCTTGGTGCATTGCCTAGCTCACAGTAAGTATTTACATATGTAAGCGTAGCTGTATATCCGAGCTTTTATCCAGTAATTTTGCTGTAAGTTGTTACTTTATTTTAAAATCTGTTTTTGTAGGGGACATGATATTTTAAGTCTTTCCAGCCTCTTGCCCTCCTGGGATTCCTGCCACCCCACCCCCTATAGTTGGAGCAGGATCGTTTTTCCATTGTGATCCTGCCACCTGGCTAGAAACTTTCCTGAAGGAATCACCTGGTCAGTCTCTTGAATGGAAGAGATAATGCATGCTTGAGAGTTATTGGCAGGAGCTACTTTCCAGAAGGAGGATGGGGAAGTGAAGAACACCTATTTATAGCAACAGAAAGGATGATTCAGATGAAAAGAGAAAAGCAAAGGACAGAAATACTCAGAAGTATCCTGGGTGCCCCATGTCCCTTTTTCCCTTGTTTCTGATCCCATATGAAGTCTGGCTATACCTCTGCCTTCGGGGGTCTATGAATCAAGTTTTATTTTAAGTGCCTGCAACAGTGCTTGGCACAGAGTAGGTACTCAATAAATATCCGTGGAATGATTAACAGGTGTTGCTTCTTGTGTAAGTGAGCCTGGGTTGGCTTCCTCGACACCCTATTTCAAAGAATTCTATCAAAGTACATGGATCCTTTGCTTTGTCAAAATCTGAGTCATTACTGGCTAGGGAAAGCTGATTCAGCTCTATGACTTAAGACCAGCTGACGGCAGCCCCATGGTGGGCACAGTTAGTATAAGAAGCCATCTTCTCTGAGCTCTAGATGTCTGAGCCATCTCAGTTAAAAACAAACGAGGGGGGCTTAGGGTTAGTGGGAGAGCACATGCTTAGCATGCACGAGGTCCTGAGTTCAATCCCCAGTACCTCCCATTAAAAGAGTAAATAAAAAGTAAATAAATATGTCTTTAAAAGAGACAAACAACATTATAGGCAAGAAAGTAACTTTCTGGATTTTGTTTTTGTGGATTTTTTTTAATTTATAGAAGAATTTTAGAAAGGCAGTGGGAGAGAGAAAAATGACACTCTTCTAATATAAGATGACACACTGGAGAAGAATTTTGTACCCCAGACAAGGGCTCAGTTGGGAAGAGGCCTCTATACATTTGGAGGGCACCAGGCTAATAAGACATTTATTGGTTTCGTGATTGCTGTGACGAATTCCACCTTCTGCAACCTCTGGAAAACCTCCTCATTACTTAGCTGTGCAGGGCCTGTGCTGCGAAGGTCATTGCCTAAGGAATGTGCTCAGAGTAGATGGAAAGGCCAAATTAGAGAAGGGTAATGATCACTCGAGAGTTTTAAGTGATTTTTGCAGTGCGATTGCAATGTGGAATTCAACCTGCAAAGCGTCAGGAGAGAGAGCAACAGGACAGCACGACATTTGCTGGAGAGAAGAAACCAAACACGTTCACTGTGGCCTTTTACAACGTTGCAAGTGTATTTCGCCTTGGAGATCAGCTTACATGAGTTCTTGAATCTTTTCTTCCAATTTTTTAGGGTCAGCTCCACAAAATTCAAAAATCTGTTCACAAATACACAAAGGTGAAATACGAATTGGTTCAAACACCGCAAAGATAAAGCTTTGAGCAATTTTGTTCCTGCTGGTAAATTTATCCTCTGCTCATTCCCATCCTCTGCAAGATACTTTAAATGGAAATACACATTAAGCACGTTCAAGTCCTGATGTTTTCATTATGTGGCACCTTTTCGAAATTGTTTATGCTCATGTTTTGTCAGATGTATCTATTTCTCTGTAATATTCCTCTAAACTAAGATCTAAAACATATTATTTTGTTGGAAATGAGGAAAACCAATCATTGAAACTTCTCAGAGCCTTGTACACTTGAGGGCTGGTTAATTCACATGCATGATTCCCTGAACTCAGATGGCTTGTGATTTCTCATGCCCTGACTTTTTGTCCAGGTAACAGTATTTTAATCAACTGATTCTAAGAAGAACATTTTCTTTTCCAATTCGCACATCTCTGAGTCAGGGCACATTTCACAGTGGATGGTAGATTTTATTTGGAACACTTTTCAGTAGTAGATAAAATAATGGTCCATCTGCCAATGAGCATCTTCTATTTGATGAAATATGGAAATTAAAGACTCTTACTATTCATTATCAGTTTAGTTTCAAATGTATGAAGTAGTTGGGGAGAAGGAAGAATGTGGGTAAACTAGGCTGAGATTGGGTGAAGACTTAAGTTTTCAGGGAGGGAGATTTCAGCAGCAAGACGGGGTGGCAGGACTTTGGGAGCAGGGGTTAGAAAGGTCTAGTGCTAACTTCGGTGCTCAGTGTGCAGAAGAGAAGAGACTACACCCACATCTAAGGATTCTCCTTCCCCAGGGAGCAGCGTGACACCCACAGGCATCACGGGCCGTTCTGTTCCTCGAAAGTAAACCCAGTTTTGTGCCTCTGGCTTGATCCCATTTCACTTACCGGCTCGTTCAGGGATCCACTTCTATTACAGCAAATTGCTCTTTTGATTCTTGAGAATAGGGTTACCTAAGTGTGGGTGCAGAATTTCATGATTTATCTGGGTTGTCTGGTTTGTAGCCAACTCCTCTATAAATAGTTCTCTTGGCCTTGGCCACCGGGGGAGGAAGGTGTCAGAAAGGACCTGCGATCGTCTCCTTCCTAAGAGTCACTGGCAGCTGGATGGTGCCTCTGGGGCATAAGGGGGTTTCTTAACTCCTCTGAGGCCAGCGCAGGTACCCAGACAAGTAGTCCTGGCAGTAACATTGGCAGGATTGACTGAATGACCGGACTCGGCAGGGGGCAGGAAAAGGATGCTAAGCTTAGCCGACTGCCCAAGGTGCTGAACCCACTGCCAGGAAACTCCTGCCCAAGGTGAGACAAAGGAAGCCTTGGTTGCTCCATAAGCCCGGAGGGTGGGGGCTGGGGAGTGCTCTTTTAACCCTTGTCGCTCGGGGTTATCAGGACCTCCTAGACCACTTGATCTAGTCGGAAAGGAACTTTGCCCCTTGCCTGTCACCCACGCTGGGGTGGAACGCAGGCTGTGAGAGACCTGGGCTTCCGCCTCCATCTCAGCCTGTCTTTCCCCACAGGAGCTGGAAGGGTGCTACGTTTGCAGTGGCTCCCACTTATCCTTCCTCGTGGCTTCTGTCCAAGATTCCTCCTGAGCCTCTATCCTCTACTCCTCTGCTGCAGGAGGGGCTGGACTCCAGTGAAGGCACACGTAACAGCTGAGCGGAAGAAAGGCACCGGCAAAGAAGGGTCTGTTCCCCATGAGCACCGCCATGTAATTGCAGACACCCGCACCCCTACTGGGTGAGAAGAAGCTGTTTTTGTCATCCTTATGGCAGTAACTCTAGTGGATCTAATTATGTCTGCTTATCTGAGGGTCTCCCCGCTACTGCCAAAAACCAGTGTGGAGCCAGAGTTTGGGGGGTCCCTAAAGACGGGCTTTTCTTCTTGGAGGAGACTTCCCCCCGTGAAGGGATGGCACCATCTGTCGGGGTACTAGCAACAGGAAAGCATATCCCTGAAGGGAGATTTCCAGGAAGCGGTGGTTTCCATGTTATGACATGCCTGTGCTGTGACGCTTGGACAGCCACCAAAGGGCAGCCAGAAGTCCCAAGTGCACTACGAGCCTTAGCTACTGTGGAAGGTATCTCCTCTTCCTTCTAGATACCTAGAACCTAGTACAGGGCACCATCGCCCACCCTGTTCCCTGAGCTGGGAAGCTGAAGCCACATTTAAAACCGTTATACACATGCGGAAAATTGCGCAAATTTCAGCATACGTTTTGGGGAGTTATTGCCAAGAGAGCTCACCTGTATAACCAGGTCCAGATCAAGAGATAGATGGAGTTTTGGCAGCTAGCTCCCCGTCACTGCCCTGTGCCCGATGCCAAACACTATTTGGGATTTTTCATCGTAAGTTAGCCTAGGGTGTTCTTGAACTTCTATAAATGGGATTCTACAGTATGTATTCTCCTGCATCTGACTTCTTTCACTCAACATGGTGCTTATGAGATTTATCTGTATAATGGCAGTACATTCATTTTTCTGTTTTTTTAAAATTTTGTTTGCTTTTTAAAAACATTCTGTTGCATGACTATAACACAGTTTATCCATTTTGGCTATGATCGATAGTGCTTCCAGGAGCACAACTTTGTAGGGACATCTTTGGGGGCATGTGAGCGGCCATTCTCTTTGGGTTCTGTTGTTTAGCTGAAATGGGGACGCCTGAGTTCAGCTTTAGTGGGAGACACCCACCAGTTTTTCAAAGTGGTTGTAATAATTTACACTCCACTAGCAGGGGATGAGTGTTCCTGGTTGTTCCCCAGGCTGGACCATACTTGGTATTGCCAGTCTTTTTCATGCTAGCCATTTGCATGGCTTTAGGTGACCTTAAATTTGTCATTGAATTCCATGGATTTTTTACCCCATCAGTTTCCACCTGGACTTAAGCAAGAGCTTATAATTTGTTTCTCTGTCTCCAGTCTTACGCCCCTTAGGTCCTTTTCCCCCATTGAAGCTCAGAACACAAATCTCATCACGCTATCCTTTGTAAAAATTTCTCAGGGTTTCTCCCTCATCATAAAATCGAAACTTCATACCAGGATTTCCTGATTTTGTCTTGTCTATGCCTAGGGTCACTCTTCACCATAAACTCTGAACTCTAGTAACACGTTGTAGTGGATTCATTTATTCACCTAATAAATACTTAATGAGTGCCTTCCATAAGTCAGACATGTGGTGAACAAAACAAAATAAAATCCCCTCGTGGTGTTCACATTCTAGTGATAATCTGATAATTTTATACTCTTGGTGTGTGATTGTCAAATAATTCCTGACCCTCACCCACGACATTTTATAACTCTGCTTCTTCCCATCTTCTCTCACTTGCTAATCTTAAACATCCTTCGAGATTTAACACATGAAGACTTCCCTCAAGTCCTTCTCTGTCATCTCATTGTACCCAGTACATCCCACTATTAAAGACCTGATTTTTTTTAATCTGTCTCTCCCACTAGACCAAGGATGGGGACTGTACTGTAGTTTTCTCTCCACATGTCTAGTGTCCAGCCCAGAACCTTACCCAGTGTAGGTGCTCTGTTAACGGTGCTAGACTTGAAGTTTGTTGAGCTAAGCCGATTTCTGGTCCATGAGGTCCAGGTCCAAGACTGTGTTAAGTTTCAGGGAGGAGGTGCTATGTGATCTATTTTATTCTTTCTTTGTCCAGTTTGCCAAAGGCACCCGTGATATGTGTTTCTCCCTGTTTAGCATGGGGCTTTGCATACAGGAGCTTAATAAATACAGTTAATGAGTGAGGAGCAGCTTAAGTGATAAGAGCTTATTTCATACGTAGCTTTCTTTGGAAGGGACAGGTATGCAAGGCAAATAACATACAATTTCCACCGAGAATATTTTCTCCTTTATAACCTGAATGTTTGGCTGTACCTCTAGAAGGCATGCTCCACAGAGGTGTCAGGAAGGAGCTTTTACCCTGCTCTTTTCAATGCCTTCATTTTTTTTCATGCCACTCTAGTAATGACGGCTGATGAAAGTTTTTAGCTCCCGTTTGCAAAGACCAGTGGGATAAGGGGTGGCTGTCCCCATATATTACAGAACCACCTGTGTCCAACAATCAAAAAAATACTCCAATATTTATTAAGGACATTTTCAAACAGATAAAAATAGAGAGATTAATAAAGTGAACCCCTCCCCCTCCGTTTACGGACCACCCAGGTCAATGAGAGGCAATTTTTCACGCCAAACACATTCATTCACCTATAAAAAAAAGTCTATTCCTGTCACTGGGAAAATGCCAAAGGGCTAGAGAGGCAGTGACTTCTGAGAATATAAGTTAAGGATTCTGACTAGTGACACACTCCTAGAATGATGAGAACATGCCTTGGCCAGTTGATGTGCAACGTGGCTGAGTGAACACCACAGTCATATCTGGACCAGCTGTATGAAAGCTCAACAATTTACAGACATCTGCAGTGAGTTAAAAACAACAACAACAACAACAACAAAATTCTCAAAGAAACAGCAAGAATGACAACACAGGCAAAAAAGCCCAACCAACCGACTGATGCAAGACACTTGTCGGGGAATGGCTGTAGAAATATTCACATGTACACTACAACTTTGTAATCTGAAATAGTATGATGTTCTTTTTCTTCTTTAGGAAGGTTTATTAAGGCACTAAAACTGATTAATAAGATGACAAGGCTATGTCTGACAAGAGAACGTCTAAAAGTACCTCAACCTTCTATTGCGAGGTGGACAGTGTTAATTACTGTTTGATCCTATCTCGGCTTCTTTCTCAGACTCCACCCACACCCATTCCTTCCCCCAAACCATCTGCATCATATTGCAGGTGTTTGTACACTTCCTCTTTGACTTCCACAACACCCAGGGCAGAGACCCTGCAAATAAATCCAAGCAGGTCCATTAAAGTTTTTGGAGTTGAGCAGAATCCAACCAAGAAGACACAGCCTATCTGAAATAGTGCTTCCAACAGCTTGAATTTACATGCACTTGA